AACGGTCTTTAGCCATTTAGTAGTTTTTGGTCATAGATTTTCTTACAATTTTACTGTTTATAAAACACTTCATAAACAATAAACCGCGCAGGAACCAAAATCGAACCTTGCGGTACCCTCTTCGAACTTTCAAACAATGTTGCACATCGTGATTTACGATTTTTCTCTCCCAGTTAACTGCACCCCAAATTTCGTGTTACACCTGAAATCTATCGAGGGAGAGTTTATAAAGTTTTTCATAAGGCGTTTAACATGACGGGTGGAAATGGTGAGGCAATAAAAAAGCAATGGTATCGTGCGGCGCGCTTGTAAGTAGGGTTATTTATTTAAGCGCGTCGTGGCAAGCCGCGGCTGGTACCGTGTGTCTGAGACTTCACTACATCATTCAAAGTCTTTAATTTGATTTGTGATTCATGTACCAGTATGATTCGTTTGTGATTCGTTGAATTTTAAATTTTATGGTGTTAGTTGAATTTGGTTCTAAACACTCAATGGTTTTTTGAGCAACTAGCAGAATTCTATACCTAAACTAATGATAGTAGCTTCTGTATCGGGCTTCCATAGAAAAATTAAGGAAATAAAATTGATAGAACAGATAAACGACGACAGTTTCCATCTAATTTATAATTATTCTATCATTTATGTTAGTTATTATAATTATTAATCAGTCATTGTTTATTTCAATTATTACAATTATTTATCATTGCTTTTAAGAACATTTATTTTAACCGACTTCAAAAAACGGAGAGGCTTCTCAATTCGCTATAGGTATGTTTTTTGTTGTTACGCGATAACTGCGGCATTTGTAAACCGATTTTGATGATTATTTTTCTCTTGGAAAGATGGTACCTCAGAAATGGTCCCATTTAAATTTGGAGAAAATAAACCACCTCTAAGGGTGGCAAATTAGGGGATGAATGACTATTGAGGTTGGTTTTTTTAGTACTCAGTACTTAGATTATTTATATTGTAATGTATACGCTTTATTAAGAGCACAATGCACATTTATAGAATCATTTTTAATTATTATTGTATTCTAGTTGTTAATTAGTTTTATCATCTAGTAACTTGTAATATTATTTTATTTTACTCCTGGTTTTTTGGAAACCATCTACCACTTCTTAGGCTCCAGCTGAAAACCAGCGCTGAGGCTCTGCCCAGCATAAAGCTGAGCTGGCTGATCTTTTCAGATACTTTATTTTTTTTATTTTTATGATTGTGTACTTTAGTTTTTAATCTATTAGTTATCTTCTTTTGTTTTTTAACGGATCTCGTGTTAGTTGTTATGTTGTAATTTATCTTTATTTTTTTACAATGCCAAGTGACGGGACGGTGGTAAGCTGTGCCTATCCATGACAGTTGCAGTGCCACTTAGAGCTTTAAATCGCAAAGATCTGAGGGGAACTGCCACTGCGCCCGTCATCCTGAGACATAAGTTGACAAATCCCATGTGTCTGTAATTTCACCAGCACCCTTAACCTTCAAAACCGGAACACAGTAATGCTGACATTGCTGCTTGGCGGTAGAAATAGGTAAGATTGCAGTACTTCCCTGGACGAGCTCTTCTGCTACTGTGTTATGCTAAGCTGCTATATTTCTTTCTTTCATATGATCATTGTACGCTACACATCAAAAAGACGTGTTTATAGGAACTAATTGGTATGTGTTTTAACCTAAAATGCTAAGCATCTAACCGCCAATTAATAATCATGCGGTGGATATCCAAAATCAACCCCAAAGCTGCGTAAACACGCGTGGCGTAGTACTCGACTCGTACGGGCAGCGGCGGTCGCTCGGTCAGGTTAATAAACTCTGATAGGCCGCAACAAGCTGGCTTCATGTAGGCCTCCATTTTTAACGAGCTCCGCCACCGAGCCCACAGAAAGTAGCCCATGAAATCACGTATGAATGAGGCTTTTTTCAGTTTTTTCGCTTGTACCCCGCGGCATGCCGCTTCGGGCCCCATTAAAGCTTACATGTCACTCTCCCTCCCCGGGGGAGTGGGCGGCGGGGGGGAAAAATCACAAAATCGGTATTGGCTGCATCCCGCCAAGCGGCGAACGGCGAGTGCCGGCAAAGCCCTCACAATATAGCTTTGACGGACGTTCATTTAATATTAACTGTGGTTTTTCCGCAGATGGAAATGTTTTTTTTATTGGCACCGTTACGCTGTGATGAAGTGGTCGGCCTGTTGTTTGTGACGCGCTCTGATGTGTTGTGGATAAGCTGCGCTTTTATACTCGTCACATTTGGATTGGAGATTGTTTCGTTTCAAGTGCAGCCTTTGTTTGTTCGCGGGAATGCTCGTTTTTATTACCATGTCTTTGTTCTGGTTAATTGATTTCTGTTGTGCTTTTCTCTTATCAATATCAACGTAGTTAATAATAGGCCTTTGAAACTTTACTTTATTTACTAGCAGTAGAGTTTGTGAAAGAGTTCGACAAGGGAAGTGCTGCCACCTTACCTATTTCTGTCTCGAAGCAGTAATGTGAACATTACTGCGTTCAGATTTGGAAGAGTAATGGTACCGGTGAAATTACAGAAATCATAAACATTTATGTTACAGGCACTTGGGAATTGTCACCTTATGTGACGGGCGCAGTAACAATGCCCGTAATTTTTTTGTGATATCAAGCTCTGAGTGGCACTGCAACTGTTATGGATAGGCGTGTCGCTTACCACCCGCCGCACGACTGGTTCATTTCGTTACTTGGTATTATAAAAAAAACTTTGTCACGAATTCAAGTGCCGTAGAGAAATATTAGACAAAGGGGCACGTCGCTCTTTTTTTTGAGGTGGTAAGCGACATCTGCCACTGCGCCCGTAACCCTGAGACATAAGTTGACCAGTCCCATGTGCCTGTAATTTCACCAGCATCCTTACTCTTCAAAACCGGAACACAGTAATGCTCACATTACGGCTTGGCGGCAGAAATAGGTAAGGTGACAGTATTTCCCTGGACGAACTCTTTCACAAGAAGCTCTATTGCTACTAAGCCTGCTACTAGTCTTCATTGCAGACAATCAATTGAACAAATATTTTTCATCCAAAATGTCCGTCTAGTTATATATTTATATTTTAGATTTGTTGCAAAAACTATTTCTAACAGAGAATTCTCCGGATACCAAACCATTCGCCAGCCAAATTGGAAACAAGCTTGCAATAAATTGTAAACTTTTTGAACAAGTGATCAAAAATTGAAGCATTACAAAAAGTGAACGCCAGACGAGAAGAGAATCGACCGCAGATTCAATTTATGGCTGCCTCCATTTGATTAAAAGTTTTTGCGATTATTTTTAACTGGACAATAAAATTCGTCGTTTTACAAACATTTTCTCTTGGCGCAAACATGGAAATATAATGCTTACGAATTAAAAAATGCATTTTTTATTATATATAGAATCACTATCAATTCGACAAATTTTAGAATCAGAACTCCTTGTGAAAGAGTTCACCATACGCATTCTTTCGCCAAGTAGTATATGAGCTTCAATGCATTGCGGTTTGAACGGTGTCAGCGAAAGTATAGACACATGGGACTTATTAACTTTACGTCTTTCCTGCCAGCTGAGCGCCGGCCGTATCTCCCGGCATGCAGCCCTCAACGACATCATGCGCCGGGCCTTAAACACGGTAAACGCGCCCGCTATACTCGAGCCAAGCGGCATGTCGCGAACTGATGAAACAACGTGTGCCGACAGACTTGGCCCATCCCATCTCCAGCACACCAGCAAGAGGGCTGTCTCCGCAGCTGAGCTGGTGGAAAGAATAAAAAGTAATAAGCAGGCCTCGGCTCCGACTACCTACCCTTCATCTGTATACAATTGTATCCAAAAAATTAATAGCCTGTCTGGGAAACCCAAAGACCGGCAGCTACCTTGCCCAACGCATTAACATACCCATACAAAGGGGGAACGCTGCCAGCATGGTGGACCTTGCCGCGGGGACACAATTTTATTCATGTAATTTGATTCTACTTTAACTTTCTAGTATTTAAGCTCTTATTGTACCTTACCTGTATATTTCAATCCATTTAAATCAAAGTCAAAGTCAAAGAATCATTCATTCTACAGGTAAAATAAATTTGCACTTCAAACCGTCACATTTAATCTACTGCTCGTTCACTACGCTGACTTCCCTAAGAAGAACGTGCAAGAAACTCTAAGGATTGCTCTTTTCAAATAAACTTAAATGCTATGGAATAAATACACTTTGAATCAAATTTGTGTGGATTCTAGAGTCATGTCGTCTTTTCGTTTTTCGTCAAGGGATTTGAATTCTAAATATTTCCTCTTAAAAAGGCCTTTGATATTTTTTTATTTTTTAATACAACGAAGACCGGATCATCAATTACTGAAGTTGAAAAATACTACATATATTAAGGCCAAGCTTATTTCGTTCTTGTGACTTTCAAACTATTTAATTAATTAATAATATTAAATTAATTTAATATCACGTTGTTTTGCTACCACGATATTCAATTACTTTTGTGAAGTTATTCTAATACTTCGTTATAATAATTATTAATACAAAAATCGGTCACGAAGAATTACAAAAATCGACCTCAAAAGTCATTCATCCCCTAGTTTGCCACCCTTAAAGGTGGAATATTTTCTTCAAATTTAAATGGGACCACTACTAAGGTACCTTCTTTTTTGAAACAAAAAGAATCATCAAAATCGGTACTCAAAGTTATCGCGTAACATATATACAAAAAAAATACATTTATACAGTCGAATTGAGAACCTCCACCTATTTTTGAAGTCGGTTAAAAATTCCTTCGATCCGGTTGGACTCGAACCAGCGACCTCGCCCTACCGTGGCTAACGCTATCCCAACTGAGCTACGGAACGAACCAGCAGACCTTACGAATTCATTGTTTGTTTTATAATTCTTAACAACTTTTTTGCCGTGGCGCCATATGTGTGAAATCTATGATGTTATTATTTAGTTAGAAAGATATTACCAGTAAGTAATTACTCCGTGTTCTCTTGTTGCAGGTAAATCGTTTACACTAACTATAACGATATCGACGTCGCCGCCGCAAGTAACTACCTACAACAAAGCCATCAAAGTCACTGTCGACGGACCCCGGGAGCCCCGCTCTAAAACCAGTTAGTATTTACAATTCACGTAAAGAAGGGTGGCAACATTCCGTGTATTTTGTGACCCAGTGTTTTTGACGACGTGCATTAAGCAGACCTATCGATACTTGTGATTCATTATCAAAGCATTAAAAAAAACTAATTAAGTACAGCCTGTAGAAGCTGGGGTTATAAAGTTCATACAGGTTATGTTTATAACATTGTACTGTATTTTGCTTCAGATGTTTGTCCGTAGTAGCAGAAAACAACAAGTTTGCATTTTGTTCCCAAAAATAATAAAAAACTTCCCGAATTCCCGAAAACTCCCAAATCTGCCAAACTCTTCCACAATTAATATAACTTATCATCTTCAGCAACAATGAAAATAAATAAAAATTAATCTTCCCAAGTGGCAGAAATCTGCCACAAATGGTCGCACTATTCTCAATATCAATGTGACATTGACATTGGCAAGAGGTCTGTTGTCAAAACGTGCCTTTGCAACTTTCATTATCTCTCATTTAAATATTGTCTAAATATTTTGTCATATTGAGTTGTATTTTTTGCTTTATGTCATTACTGCTAAATTGTTTATTTCATTAGGTATTTTGTAGCTCTAATGTTTTATGTGTGTACTGCAAAATAACCAATACTTCAGGTAGATAAACATAAAATCATGCTTAAAATAAACGTGCGTACAAGAACGTTATCTAATCTATGGTCGGACTGAATCAATTGCGCTGTGTTCTTGCATCTATTCTAAAATACAATGTTTTACAATTTTTTTATTTCCGACTTCTAAAAATATACAAAAATATATCGATAACTAGGCATAAACTAAAACGCAATTATACAGGCAAAGTCCATGAACGGCTCTTCATCGTTATTGGGGTAGCTTTCGCCATCCTTCTTTGAAAACTCTTTTTAGTACAGTGAAATAAATCAACAATTTCAAGGATTGCAATATTTTTATTTTATTGATATAAAGATCAAACAAACACAAAGAAAATGTCCTTTGAGTCCAAATGACGCTATGGCAAAAAAACCGTGTAAGGGAGTCGCCACACTTGTTAATGCTGAATCGCTTTAAGTATGACAAAAAAGCTTTATGTCCATGAACGTAAGAGCGAAGATGACTTTTTGTTTTTTATAGAATAGAATAGAATCATTTATTTCATATTATCAATTTCATAATATTACATTTCGAAATATAACGTCAAGGGATAACGTGATCGTCATTAATGTAACTAATAATTTTATTGTTAATGTAAAATAAACTAATTAAAAGAAATGAAAAATTCGTGAGGTCCGCTGGTTCGTTCCGTGGCTTAGTTGGTATAGCGTGTGACACGGTAAGCTAGAAGACGTCGGTTCGAATCCGGCCGGATCGAAGGAATATTTTCTGAGTGTTCGACCTTTGTATTAATAATTATAACAAACTAGTGTAGTAATTTCACACAAAAAAAAATTTATATGAATTCAATAAAAATGTAATAATTACAATTTCTTTAAAAGAAATTCCTCTATACTATACAATTCATTATCCAATAAAAGGTCTTTCAGTCGGGAACAAAAATACTTCATCATTTGAAGCACTTTCGAGACTTGTGGGTAGGTGTTCGTAAAATCGGGGCCCGATTACTCGCGGATTTCTTGTTGCGAGTTCGGCTCGATGACCAACGGCTTTCAGTGTAATAACTATACAAAAGTAAGCGACACGCCAGTCCATAACAGTTGAAGTACCACTCAGCTTTAAATCGCAAAGATCTGAGGGGCACTGCTACTGCACCCGACAGCCTGCGACATAAGTTGACATGTGTAATTTCACTAGCACCCTTAATCTTCTAAACCGGAATGCAGTAACGCACGCTACTGCTTGGCGGCAGAAATAGGTAAGGCAGTACTTACCTGGACAAACTCTTTCACAAGGAACTCTATTGCTACTAAAAGACACAGGTCAGCAACGAATTTCCGATCGCGTCCGTATGCATGCCGACAACAGCTGATCCTGGTTTAGAAATAATTGGCGCGACAGCGCGCGAACGGTTGCATCAATGGCGAATCGGCTTAATGCGGCAAGTGTGGTTAAACACGATCGCATCAAGACGATTCAGCCTTAATAAGTTTGATGATTCCCTTAATCAAAATAAAGGTTAGCAACAAGCACACAGAGAAATTCCTGTGGTCTGCTGATTCGTTCCGTAGATCTGTTGGGAGAACGATAAGCGCCGGTCTGGCAAACAGTTGTTGATTCGAATTCAACCGGAACGAAAGAATTTTTCCTTGTATTTGTTTGATATTTGTATCAATACTAATTTCAACGATTTTATGCACATTAAATAACACAGGACCCAGAATCGCTCCTTGGTGAATAAAAGCATTAAGTATTGTTTTGTATTAGGTAATGTATTGCTACATCGTTTAAGTACGTGATGCAAAGCAAACGATTTTATTATAAGGAAACTATTAACACGTTCGTCGCCGTGGTGTGTCAAAACGACCGGCATTTCATCTACCTATTGGGCCCGTGAAGGGTTAAAATGACCCGCACGGCGCATCTAACTTTGCGATGCTCGTTCTCGCCGCAGGTGGCAAACGTTACGTTTTTAGCCATATAACATGACCGGCGTGGCCCTGATGAACTGCTGTTGCCACTTGGTTTTTATGATTTTGGATGGCATATATACTTTCTAGACTAAGAGGAAAATCCTAAACTAGAGCCAAATAATAACATAAAATATCGCGAATAATTTATATACGTACACAAATGAGACCAAAAACAGTCATATAAACCAATGTCATATTTTCAACATTTTTGAATATAGAGAAGTATAGTCGGTGACGAACCTGTTAAGGTTGTCAGAAAATGCAAAGTATGTTTAAAATACTCTGTATTTATATCAAATTTCAAGGCAAGGAAAACCAAATAAATTCGAGTTAGGCAAATATTTAAACAGTAGTATTTCTCGGACGGTGTTTGCACAGACAACATCAAAGGTACAAATTTAGGAGCACTCGAAAACAAACAAGGGCGACCGCAAACATTCGAAGCGACCGCGTTAATGAAGGTAATTTATTAATAATTTCAGTGGTGCCCACCGGCTTTTCCTTTTCGAATGCGTGTAGCGTGAAATCGAAGTACGATGTTAGACACTCGTCCCTAATTTTCACTTTTGGAAATTGCTGTAGCTACTATATAACTTTACACAACTACGTTCATTTCTATCGTACTACAAATTGAGATCGTGCACTCATGTAAATAACTACCTGTAACTTTTGTTCTACTCTAACCAAGCTTATTTCATGTTCTTGTTGAACTTGTGTACTTATAATGAATACCTCGACATTCCGCGTGTCATTTCAAAGAATTCCATTATGGTCTTGTAATGCCTTTCTCTTGGGCGTATTGTCGTCTATTGTTTTTTTACTTCACTCAAAGCATTTCATATCAGCTCGGACGAATAATTGCCAACTTAAAACGTACATTCAGTTCAACTTTCTGTTTCCAATCTGAAATGCAAACAATCGATCAGCGAAGCAATTTAAATAGTTAACGCAGGGTTCGTGGGACGGGAACAAATGACTGCGCCCGCGTCTTGCGGGTCGCACCTAGACAGACAGACGCGCGGAAGAAATTAAAATAATTGCTCACTCAGTTGAATATTGAGGCAGGGGTGAAGTTATTGAGATCAAGATCGTTTATGAAGCAATAATATGTTTCATAAACGATCAAGAATTATTATTAACGCTTATTGGAATATGTTTTGTATTTGAAATCAAATGAGACGGTTACGGAGTTAATTTTGCACGATAACGCAAATGTTTCAGCTAAAATGATTCTAGACAAGTTAGAGTTATAACTTTGTAAGTTAGTCAGTGCACTTAGAAAATTGATTGGAGTTTGTGAGGATTATGCCGCCTCGCATGGATTGATGCACAACGTCAAAAAGACTGAGTATATGGTTTTTGGGGTCGCCGGTAAGAAGAGTCCTAACAATGTGCTTCCCATAAGTCTCAATGGAATTCCATTGAAGAGAGTAGCACATTTCAATATTTAGGACACTATATTGCCGACGACCTCAAGGACAATATGGATATAGAACGCGAGCGCAGGGCACTGTCGGTGAGGGCGAATATGCTGGCTCGCAGGTTTGTTCGATGTACGGTGGAGGAGAAGGTCACTCTTTTCAGAGTTTACTGCACACCACTCTACGTGGGGGCTCTGTGGGCCAGCTATACCCAAGTCTCGCTCAGGGCCATGCGCACGCAATACAATAACGCCTTCAGGACGCTGATGCGGCTGCCGCGGTTTTGCAGTGCGTCTGCCATGTTTGCTGAAGCCCGTGTGGATAGCTTCATGGCAGTCTTGCGCAAAAGATCAGCATCTCTGTTGAACAGAATACGTGGCAGCGGTAACAGCCTCCTGAAGACAATTACGGTTAGATGTGAGTGTCCCACAATGCGGCATCTCATTAATAATACAAAATCTGTTCTAGAATTTAAGTACTAACCTAATTATAAGTTTCATTGTTTTAACACTTATGGATCCTAGTTATCTGAATAAATGAATTTGAATTGAATTAGACTTGCGTCTTAGCCTTGGCAAAATTGAAGAGAAATCTCGGTCCACACAATTTTTATAGTAGAGGCAGAAACAAAGAAAAGGTGAGGAATGGAGAAGGGAAGGATGTAACAAAAACAGTGGTATAAAAACACAGGTCTAATACTATAAAACATTCCCTATATTAAATTACAATCGGGTATGCTTATGGATGAATATAAAGTAGACACTCACCCCAAAAAGGCCAGTATTCGTACACATATATAGCTGCTCTATAAGCAAGCAGCCAGGATGTCAGTTTACATGATTGAAGAATACGTGTTTTCTCTCCGAGAATCTTGATTGGAGTGACGACGGTACGAAGCAAAGTAAGAATGACGAAGAAAAACAATTGCATAACGATTCAAAATTTCAAAAGTAAGTGGCCAGGAACCAGAGAAAATGGTGATAAAAAGGTGGGATGAAGATG